ACCGTCTCATGGGGCCGGGGGGGGTCAGTTTAGGGCACTGAGCTGGGCCAGTGGGGGGGGGGAATCAGGATCAAATCCCCTCTCACCATGAAACCCACCGAAGAGGTCGCAGGCACACCGCTAGGACTCTGCTTGCTCCTAGCAGCCAGGGTGGGCCCACAGCCAGGATTTTTAATTTGGAGGGGGGGCTTTAAATAAGTCAGGGGACACCCCACACACATCCGCAAGCGAGCGCCACAAAGAAAATTTAAAAAATGGAAGTTGGGAGGGGGGCTGGATGGGAAGTGGGGGGGGGGCTTGGCAGTAAGTCTGCGGGGCCAGGCCCCGAGATGCCCCCACTGTAGCTACAGGCCTGCGCCACGGGGCACAAGAGGTGACGGGCTCACCTTCTGGGCCTGCACCACCTCCAGCTGGGTTCGAGTTAGGCCCCAAAACTGAACTGGATGGTGCTGCTGTGTGGGCCCAGGAGTCAGTGGGTGCCCCTGGCTTGAAGCGACATAGATGCTGTCTATAGCAGCAATTCAGGAGACAGGGGCCCAGTGCTCCCTCTAAGCTGAGTTAGTGCGAGTTTTTTAGCTTCCAGCTCACACGTTTTTGTCTTAGCTCAGGAAGGATGGCTCCAGAACAAACTAATTTACACAGCAGCCAAATCGCTCGCTCACAACTTTAATGCCAGTAGCTCACAAAGTAGAATTTCCACTCACAAGACTCCACAGCTTAGAGGGAGCACAGCTTAGGGCATATCACTTATGTTTAGGGCTTCAGGCTGGCTTTGCGTTTACAGCATCTTGGTTAAATCTGAACCCATGACACAAAAACTGGCCCAGCTCCCGTGTCTAATGCAGAGGATGTAAAAAGGGGAAGAGACACCATCTCCATTCAGACCAAAGCTGTCCCAGCACCAGGCGCTGCCTTCTTCTGTGCCTCTTACCTTTGACTTGATGGGGACAAATTCATCCTCCATTTCTTCATACGCCTCCTGCCCCAGGGGGCTCTCCCTCTGAGGTGTGGGCACGTGCCTCCTCCCTGCGAGCACTGGGATCTTGCTGCCCTCTGGCACTCTGAGACACTTCCTTCTAATGTCCCTCAGCGCAGTCAGAGCCTCCCAAGCCAAATCCGACTCGGGCAAGGTATCCAGCGAAAGCATCGAGTACGACTCCGCATCCCCCAGACTCTGCGACCGGATGGAGACCCGGGATCCGGCGTAGCGCACTGTGGGCATGCTCTGGGACTTGTCCCGGCAGAGGGGGTAGCCAGGAGACAGCGAACCCAGCCTTCTCGGTGTCTGGCACACCCACTCGTAATCCGAGTCCTCCACTCGGAGCCCGTGGCAGCTGCGGCATCGGCGGTTCCGGCACGGCGTGCCCACCCGGCTGCTGTTCGCGTCGCTGGCCCAGCACTCGTATTCAGAGAGGGCCATGTCATCCTGAAGGAGCCGCTGGTAACGCACGTGGGGCAAGTCTGCTATACTTGCTGATATTTCTTGCCCCACGTAAGACACCGAGTCCCCGTCATCCGGGAACTGGCGAGCATGGATGTAGCGCAGGGAGCGGGCCAGCTGGTCTTTTTCCGAGAGCAAGCGCTGGAGGCGGTCAATTGACAGGGCTTGCACCCGGGCAATGACGGTATCGAAGCGGTACACCCGGCTCAGGGCCTGGGCACATTTCCCGCACAAGAACTCCCCGCGTCCGTCACCACGGCACGGAGCCTCTTGGCTGAGCACGTACGAGAGCACCACCAGCAGGTCAGGGCGGGTGTTGCGTCCACTGCGACTGAACAGCCATCGCCGCTGGTTCCCGCACAGCACTGTCCCGCAAAGGCGGCAGATGTTGTTGGGGCTATCCATGAATCTGGAGAGGTGTCGGAAGAGAAGAAAACCTTGACTTCTCAGTCCTCCTCCGATTTCTGATTCCTCACGTAGTTCTAAGTAGTTGGAAATTACTACAAAATCTAGATTTTTTAAAACGGGCCTAAATATTCATGAGCCCACTCTCTCTCAGAAAAAGTCAGTTTTCTGGAATTGATTTGCTGGTTTGTCAAATCTTGTATTTTTAAACGGTCTAGAATTCTAAGATAAGCATCCTCATTACAGGACCCTCATTGTCTGTCTAAATTGCTGTTATCTAGCAATTAATCCAAGTTCTATTTCTATCTGAATTTGGCCTCTGAACTGTCTCCTGACTGAATCCAAAAACTAGACTGTTTTCTTGATTTCCCCCAGTCAGCCTTTAGTGCGGGAAATTTTTTGGCTGTTTCTAGATACCCACAGATCCAAACTGAGAACAGCTGTCTAATCTTGCTAATCTTGCAACATCTACAGTCATCATGTAAATAATCAGTTTAAAGCTTATTCTTTTCAGCTCTTGCAGGCCTACAGTAGATTGGCTCCAGTGTGAATTTTTACTATTTCAACTTTTTGTGATAATTACTTGGATCTCAGAAATACCTGTTCTGCACATACGAACGTCAGAACGTTAACCATGCTAGAATTGGTCTCAGCATCTATTTAAATTAGCCATTCTGAATATTAATCTGGATGTCTGCTGAATCATGAACTCTATGGTAGATTACTATTTAGACACCTGCCCCTCCACTATGAGGGCATACCATTCATCTAGAATATAAATTAAGGGGAAAAAACCCTATATATTAACTGGCATTTCAATGAAATTAAAACCTGTTTTCATATAACCTGGCTTCTCCCTTTTCCGATAAGAGTCGTAGGCTTACAATACAAGTAATTATAAGGGTTTCGGAGCAGGTATATTGGAATGTAGATCATTTGCAATAAGTAGTGCCCACGGTGAATCCTTCACATCATTAAAAAAAAATCATCAGTGCTGATCAACTGAAATTTTGGCTGACTTTCTCCAGATCTCGTCTTCGAGACAGTTCCCTAGAAAACAATGGGGGAAAACTGCTTCAGAGAAAGAAAGTTAACGAACATTTTTATCCAAATTGCACATACTGCTTCTGGTTATAACCTAGAGATTATGAGCCAAACTACTTATCTTTTCCCATGCATTTTCATGTGCTTTCATGTGTTCCCTGCAGCTTACATAGCAGCTGCAGGGAACTGCTGAAGGGGTGGGAGGAGGAGAAGCAAAAGAGGTTCAGTATGGTGCTTGGGGGGGGGAGTGGGAATTCAAACCCGGTTCTCCGGATTAGAGTCTGTTGCTCGTAACCACTACACCAAACTGGCCTCTTGCCTTCCCCACAAGCAGTTTCCTCATGCAGAACCACTGGGGGGGGGGGAGTTATTTCGCTGTGAGGTAACATGTAGTTAGGCTCTATGACACTTAAAAAAAAATTTAAATTCATTTTAAAATAATCATTAACACTTCATTCTGGAGAGCCCCTGCAGAACAGAGGCTAAAAATGAGATCCAGGAACATCCTGGTCAGTGTTCCCTCTAAGCTGAGTTGGTGTGAGCCAGCTCACAGTTTTCTAGCCTCCGGCTCACACATTTTTGTCTTAGCTCAGGAAGGGATGGCTCCAGAGCAAACTAATTTATGCAGCAGCCAAATCGCTCGCTCAGAACTTTTAATGCCAACAGCTCACAATGTAGAATTTTTGCTCACAAGACCCCACAGCTTAGAGGGAGCATTGATCCTGGTTCACTTCTCACCTCAGTCGTTACCTCACCAGGCAGACTTCAACAAGTCACAATTTTCTTTCAGTGAACACTCCTCTTCTCCTGCCTGCAACATGATAATTGTACTGGTTCGCCTTACAGGTTTGTTGTCATAAATTTGGAGTCAACGTATGTAGGCACTGTAGAAACTAAACTGGACTATGAAACAGGAGACCCAGGTTCAAAGGTGATCACAGAGCTTCTGGGCCAGTGAGACTAACTGACCTCACAGGTTTTTTGTGGGATAAAATACGGGAGGGAAATCCACGTACAGTCTAGCTGAGATCTTTGGAAGAAGGGCAGGAGAAAATGTAATCAAATCCTACTGTGTTAAAATCTGAGGACTCTTGCACCTGTTGGCCGATCATTGTGGCTGCAGCATAACTTCCCCTGTAGGTTTCAGAAGACAGCTGAGTTGGTCTGCAACAGAAAAACGAGATTAAAGTCCAACAGCACCTTAGAGACCAACAATATTTTCAGGGCATGGGCTTTCAAGAGTCGGAAGCTTCCTTCATCAGATACCAAATCTAACAAAGGAAGCAGCAGCTCTTAAAGGCTCATACCCTTTGGACTCTTTATAGGTGCTAGTGGACTAGAATCTAGCTCTTCCCCTCAAGCGAATGCTAACGTCCCTCAGAGGAGGAGGAGAAGGAGGAGATTGGATTCAGACCCTGCCCTTCACTTGGAGTCTCAGAGCGGCTTACAAACTCCTTTCCCTTCCCCTCCCCACAACAGACACCCTGTGAGGTGGGTGGGGCTGAGAGAGCCCTGAGAGAACTGCTCTTGAGAGAACAGCTCTGACAGAACTATGGCTTGCCCAAGGTCATCCAGCAGCTGCAACTGAAACCCGGTTCTCCCAGATTAGAGTCCACGCGCTTAACCACTAGAACATTTTTATTCCACCCTACCCTTTTAAGGCAGAAAACATGTATTCAATCCACAATCCTGTGAGGTAGGTTAGGCTGAGGGAACATGATGACTGGCTCCAGCTCACACAGCTAGCTTCCACAGAGGAAGAAGAAGAGGAGGAGATTGGATTTATACCCCGCCCTTCACTCAGAGTCTCAGAGCGATTTACAAACTCCTTTCCCTTCCCCTCCCCACAACAGATACCCTGTGAGGTAGGTGGGGCTGAGAGAGCTCTTTTGAGAACTGTCGTTGAGAGAACAGCTCTGACAGAACTATGGCTTACCCAAGGTCATCCAGCAGCTGCAAGTGGAGGAGTGGGGAAATCAAACCCGGTTCTCCCAGATTAGAGCCCGCGCACTGAACCACTACACCAAACGTAGCAGTATGAGGATCTGAGCCTCTGTCTTCCCAGGTCCTAGTCCTAAGACTCTAACCCAGAGGTGTTGAACTCATTTGTTACTAGGGCCGGATCTGACATAAATGTCACTTTGTCAGACTGGCCCATGTGTGCCATAAAATGTAATGCCAGCTACCGGAGATATAAGCTTTATAAAGGACACAGGCAAACCCAATTAGCAGTATCATGTTTTACTCAAAATACAAACATGCCGAAAACATTAACACTCTTACAGTACTTCCTTAAAGCAGCTCCCTGATGCCCACCCTCCCACTTCCACCGCCCATTACACATTAGCACTGAGACAATGTACAGTGACATAATTGCACAGCCTCTGTCATCTGGCAGTAAAGGTAATGACCAGTTGCTCGCAGGCTGCATAAGAGCCCTGGAAGGGCTGCTTCTGGCTCACAGGCCATATGTTTGACACCCCTACTCTACCCACTCTACTACAGAGGCGTTATGTACACTGCCTTGAATTTTGTCTCTGCCTCAGAAAGGAATAACCAATCACCAGAACACACTGCACTGAAGATACCTGCAGGGCAAGAAATACATTACAAAACACACCCGTGTAGTACAAATAGAACTAGAAAGAGACTCTGGCAGACTCTAACTTTGGGGCAAATTCTAGCTTGCCTCCACCCAAGACTGTACACGTTCTACAGGTCTAACCTGCAAGCTCTCAGAGATTCTGAGCACCTCTGCTCTCTTTAAAGGTGTTTGTTTTCAAGTACTTCAGAGGTGCAGTCCTACAACCTCTGTGAAGCCAAGCAGGGCTGTGTCTAGCCAGTGCCACATGAATAGGAGACCTGCAGGTATCCTGGCCTTAAACTTCATAAAACAGAGGAGAGATATAAACGAAATAGCATCAGATCCCTTTGGGGGGCACTTTCTTCTCTGGTTGTGACCATATACTATTATTGAAATGCTCTAGTATTTATTTGATTTCTCTCCCGCCGTCCCCTGTGTCTCAAGGTGGGTTACAACAATATAATAAAATACAATATGGGGGTTTGATAACAGAGGCTAAAGATGTTCTTGAAGAGGCCCAAGTAGGGACAAGCATGAAAAACCCACATTTATTTAGCCCCTTTCTATCCTGCCCTTCCTTCAAGAGTTCAGAGCAGTGTACATCATCCTTCCTTCCACCATTTTATATTCACAACAGCCCTGCGAGGTAGGTGAGGCTGAGACAGAGAAAACCAGGTTCAAGGTCACTCACTGAGCTTGAGGGCGGGGTGGGAATCTGACATGCTAACCACTGTACATGTATACGGAACTAAGACCGCACAGATAGAAAGTTGCCACATCAGTCCAAAACAAAAGCCATAAAAGACCACAAAGCCCGCAAAGATTTTTAACTCTCCAGAACTCTTCATCAGACTAGACACTAAACATGTTTCAGACCTAAATAAAACCACTTGTTGTGTTGTAGCATAACACAGGACATATAGTACTGGTGATAATGTACATGCCACTTTATGCTTTTACCCCACAAAGAAGTGCTCCCCGTCAATGCTCCCTCTAAGCTGTGGAGTCTTGTCAGCAAAAATTCTACTTTGTGAGCTACCGGCATTAAAGTTGTGAGCAAGTCAGCAAAAATTCTACTTTGTGAGCTACCGGCATTAAAGTTGTGAGCAAGCGAATTGGCTGCTGCATAAATTAGTTCGCTCTGGAGCCCTCTTTCCTGAGCTAAGGCAAAAATGTGTGAGCTGGAAGCTAAAAAACTGTAAGCTAGCTCACACTAACTCAGCTTAGAGGGAACACTGTTCCCCCTGACAGAGAGGCATGGGAGAAGAAGCATCAGCAAGAGACGCTTCCCCCGTTGTCCCCCAAACACAACAGATGGGCTAGCAGGAAGAAACCCCTGTTGTCCCCCAAACACAACAGATGGGCTAGCAGCAGCCATAAACCCAGCCAGAGGGCAAAAGGTGGCAGGGGTGGGTGAGAAAGCCCAAACTCCAAACTCTCTTCTGGGATCGGGATGAAGAAGTTCAAAAGGCAACTCCGGGACAAAAGCTGCAGATGGTAACTGATTACTCAGGAGGGAGGGAGGGGGAAGACACAAACACAGGGAAGCCTCCAGCACAGGCATGAACCCAACGCTCATCTCCAGAGACGAGACAGAAATGCCTTACTTAAGTTAAGCTCCTTTGATTTACAAAGACAAAAGAAGGTGAACCAGTTTCTGCAGCACCTTAGGAGGCGGACACTTTGGTTGCCGCAGAAGCCTTTACACACCCGGGCACGGAGGGATATGGAAAAGTACACTGTAAGCCCATTACAATTTATGCTAGTATGAATTGCTTAGCCTTTCCCAATACCACAGGACTCTGAATTTTGCCCTAACCTAATCTGGGATGTGGGCATTGGCTTGAAATGCTCACTCAGATCCGGTACCAGAAGAACCAGAAGCCCAGACTGTCAGTCCTCCCCACCTCCTTCTTGGAACTGGGAGCCTTGGTTGACTGCCTACTTCTCCGATGGACTTTGCCCACCCCCTTGTTTTCTCCTGAGCGGTTTGCAAACCCTTGAACACACACCCCCCTCCATGCCACCCGGCACATTTAGCATCCCCTCCCCTTTCTCCTTCCACATCTAAGACAGCTGCTCTCATTTTGGAGGGGAGGGAATCCCCCTCCTTTAAAAACAGCAATCGACAAAACTCTTCCTCTTACCTGCTGCCCTTCTTCCACTACTCCACCCCGAGCAAAAGGTACAGCACACCTGGCCGGATACCTGAGCCAGCAGCCCCGCCTCCTGGGGAGGGGCCCTCCAGACAGTAATCCAGCTTGCCTTTGCCCGCCCTGGGCAGGCTGCTCCCTTGCAGAAAGCCCAAGCGCTCTGCCTCCTCCCCTGCC